GCATAAAAGGAATTTAATTAATATACATTCATATGAGAATTTGTGTTGAATTTGTTTTTATCTTTTCTTTGTCATTGTTTATCGTGCTCTTCTATTTAAGATCATGTACTTTTTGTGGTCGTTGATCCAGGAGAACATGCTGCTCATGTCAAACCCATGTAAMAAGGTTGGTTGTATTCTTGAGTAGTATCTGTATCTTCTACCTGGAGTAAATGTGAATGCGTCATTTGTTACCAGTTCTTGCACAATYTTGCACATGTCATTCTTTGTTGACTTCTTCACATGCTTACCAGATCTTTTATTGATGGACAGGTTATGGTCATAGTTAATCATAAGCTCACTTGTTRTTCCAAGAGAATGACATATCCTATCTAGGGATCTTCTAGAGGCAGCAGGTCCTAGCTTCTTTATGGCTTCCTTCACTGTCTTGTTGTAAAACTCCAACTGCAGATCTAGTGGAATGTTGGCTCCTCTTACTGGCTTGTTTTTCACAGATYTGTTCCAAATTAGCCGATGAGCTGACTGGGGACTTAACAATGCATAAACTTGAAACATCTGATACAAGCACTCCAGAGAGTACTTTGTGGCACTCCCTCCTTGATGCTTAAGGTACATGAGGAAAAATTTCCAACAACGATGCAATCTTCCTCCATCACCTTCTGATATAGCATCAAAGAAATTAAGAAGAAGCATCCCATATTCCAGTAGTGATTTCTGATAYGACAACATGTCATCTCCATCTTCCTCATCTGATTTGGGATCTTTAAGTATGTTCACAGTACTGTTGTCACTTGAAACTACAGGAGGGTCATGGCTGGCCTCATGCTCCTTCAAATATTTGCCATTATGAGCAAAAGTCTTTGAACATCCAGGGAATCTGCATTTGTATCGTGCACCAGCTTTGCGTTCCTTCTCTTTCTGTTCAAGAAGTTTTGCCAACTCTTCCATGCTTTTGTTCCTTTTCTTATCARCCACAAAAGCATCAATAATTAGAGAGGCTATCTTGTGAAGAAAGTCTTTCTTATCCTTTTTAGGTGACTCTGGTTTTGGAAGCTCAAACTTAGCTGGCTTTTGATCATCCAGAGAACCCATGCCAAGGATTTTCAGTGCTGCTGCAATTATTCTTGATTCAACTTCAAGGATGAAAAATCTTCGACATGCATTGGCTGCTGCACTAACATCCCCTTTGACATTCCTCCTATTGATAAGGTTGCGGTCGCTGTACATAGTACACTTGTCACCAGAAGATGAGATATTATATAGGTTGGAAAAACCTACCTAAAGAGGAAAAAAGAAAAGAAAAAGGTATCCTT